GTCCAGGGCTCAATTCCACCAACCACATGGCTTGTATCCAAGTATGGGATTTGTTCTGGAAGAACATTTAGAGGATTATGATAATCCAGGATGAGTTAAATTGGGCATTACTGGTATGTTTTTACCTGTTTTCCATAATGCTGCTTTCCTAAAACTGTTGCAGAGAAAGTAGGTAAATAATTTTCCCCCCACTGTCAGAAGACCATCTGCTGTTTGAGACAAGTCTCCTAGATATTATTATTACTTTTTTATTTCCAGTTAGCAGCGTGTTTCCTTTAATATGATGCTTTCTGCATAATGAGCTCTGATTGTTTTCCTATGGCCATCTTGGTATTTTGTCTGCCTTTTCCTTTCTTTAAGGTGGGAGATTTTCTCTTACTGATAGCGATACATTTCTACATTAGTACCTATTCATTTCCTTTTCATTTTCTCAGAGAAAAACAATCAGAGCTCATCATTGCTGTCGTCATGGAGATTTCATGTGTTCAGAAGAAATCCAGTTGAGGAGTTTCTTTGTCAATCCCATACTGGACACTTAAGCTTTCTTGTTTGGATCCCAGCAGCCCAAGCAGGGAAGCTATTGACATTGATTACAGTGTAATTCATAAACCAGGACAGGCAGGGGGAAGTGTATGCAAAAGGAGCTGTCCTGGAGCCCTGGAGCTGTGCATACAGTAGGTGCTCAGGCAGCAGTTGGTGACTGGACAGAAGAGGCAGCCAGAGCACTAAAAACATGCTAGCATCTTGGCTGTCCACAGCATCATGAAGTCAACACAGCCACTGCCAGCCTCACCATCTTCCTAGCCAACCTGTTCTCCCCCATCTTTCCCACCAGGGCCCCACTGTCTGTCCTCATCCCAATTCTGTTCTCACCCCTCCCGTCTGAAGTCTTGACTTTCATTCTATTGATATCCACATCTCCAAGCATCCTCCTTTCTTTCTCCTCTTCCAGCCCTCGGCTCTTTGCTCTGGTTCATGGCTGTGTTCTCTTAGGGAACCATCCCTTCCCCTCCTGGCCACTTTCTTGCTCTTCCCATTGCTGCTGAAACAGTGAGACCACAGAGTAGGTCTGAAGCACGTCTTTGCTGAACAATGGTGAGATGGAAGAGTCTTCCTAATATGCAAATCTGATGATGTTACTTCTTGGCTTAAAATCCCTCAGTGACTCCCCCTGCTTTTAAGATAAAAATACAAACCCTTGGGTCATTCAAAGCCTTTTCAAGATCTCAGCAGCATCTTTTCCCATCACTACCCATTTGCATCTTGTGGCCTGGCCATCCTGCATGAGTGACCAGTGACATTCCAGATGATGCATCTGTTAAAGGTAGCGGTTGAGAGTGCTCTCCAGCTCTGGCATCAGATTGAATGTGGTCATGTGCCAGCTCCATCACAGAGCTCTACAACCTAGAGGGAGTTGCTTAAAGGCTCTGTGCCCCAGTTTCCTCATCTGTAAAATGAGCCTCTTAGTATCACCTAATGAGGTTGTTGTGAGAATCCAGTGTGTGAATACATGTCAAGCAGTTAAATCAGTACCTACCATGTACAAATACTTTGTAGTTGTTATGCTGGTCTTACTATGGGTGTAATTACTTTATCCTTTGCTGCTTCCTTCTGTCTGGAATACCCTGTTACACCTTTACCTGACAAAGCCTACCCATCCTTCAAGTCTCAGTCCCAATATCACAGCCTCTTGGAAACTAGCTTCTGCAGCTGTGTGATAGTAAAACCTTAAGTGGTAGAGTCAGAAGGTATGGCTTTAAATCCTCATTCTGCTACTGTTTTATTCTAATCTACCCTCACTAAGCCTTGGTTTCCTTGTCTATAGAATTAGGATAATAAAATAATAATATCTGTTATTTTGCTGTCATAAAAGAGTAAAAGTTTATAAAAATATACCTAACATGCACACAACACTTCATTCATTTTGTCTTGTTTTGGTTAGCCGTCATTCATTCTTACCTTTTATTGAGAACAAAGCACTGTATTATAATAATCTTTTTACTTGTTTTTCTTGGCATCTAGATTGCGTGTTATATAAGTTCAAGGACAGGGTCTTTTTCATCATTATATGATGGCACTTGACACATCACTCAGTCGGATGGACAGGAATCCAGCTGTTTTTTCAATGCATGGGACCATTTCCATGCATAATTTTAGGATACATTAGAGGATTGTGATGGTAGGAGAAGAAGAGGTTGGGAAGGAAGGATGTCTTAGTGGGATGGAGGAGTGGAGCTGTTTTCTTTCTTTGGAAAATACTAAAGACCAGAGGTTAATTGCAACTGTCCCATTTCATTTGGCACAAGGGTGAATGGGGATGGGAGAGGAAGCCTGTCTCGGAAGGGCTGGGACTCAACTGGAGTCATGATACATGTTTTATCAGTGGGATTTGCTGACATCATACTGGTTCTTAAATAGAGTTGTGCAGTAAATATTTAACAACCAGTGCTCCGAGAACAACACAAAGCCCTGATTTATAGTGTTTGCTGATTACTGTGGTGTCAATACCCCCGCCATGGCCACTTTCAAGCCACCACTGCAATGTTATTAACCAACCTGCAAAATCCCTGAAACTGTACCAATTCACCAGTGATGAGCTGGCCCTGACATAGCGCTGTATAAACTTCTTACTTCAGTGTTTCCATCTGTAACATGTGAATTCTATAATGTGAACATCCTGTCTCCAAGTACAGCTGCCAGGGAGAGGTGGTCAAATGTGATAAAATGTGGAAATGTCAGTGTTCTAACAATGCCACATGCGCTCACCCTTCCACTGAAACTCTTTTCCCATCCACTGGCTGTGTGATATAGGGCCAGGATATGTGCCGATGATCTCTCAAAAAGCAGCCTGTCCAGAGTTTTGCTCTGAGCAGTATATTTCGTTTTATCCTCCCAATCGGGGCTATGCTTTCTGCAGCAGACTGACTCAATTAGCCTTTCATTCCAGAGTCCAATTGTCAGTCAATTCTGAGGTTGTTAAGCAAAATGAGTCTGGTGGCATTAGTCTCTCACCGAAGGACAGTAATCCTCATCACAGTTGTTGTTCAGTTAATAGTCTGCTGGAGAGTCTGTGAGAAACGGGAGCTGTGGAGAGGGGCGACCTTTCTTCCATCTCTGGGGGACAGGCCGGGAGCATGGGACTGCCAGGTCAGAGAACTATTCAGCAGCCAGGTTGCATACAGAACCAGAGCCCCAGCTACCTGAACCTGCAGTTGGCCTTTACAAAGTTAGAAACCCAGTGCCACTAGATCATTAACTTTCATGACCAGGAAAATTCTTTTGAAATTAACACTCAATCCAAGCTGGATGCCATTGGAGCCAGTTGAGTAAGCCCGAGCCATCTTTAGGGATTTCCTCTGAAAAATAAATCTTTTAACCAGGCTACAGAAAATAGGCAGGTTTTATATCTTTCAGTGTGTTCAATTAAAGTCAGGAAACACCAGCGAGGCTCGGACTGTGGTTGCCACTCAGGTGCGCACACATGCACATGCCCCAGCCACATTCAGGATTTTACCAATGCACTTAGCTTCGGCACATGGCCTTGCTTGGGGAGCCTTATACAGGGGCTCTCTGAGGAATGCAGGTGCTGTACAAAGAAAATAAAGCAGAATTCCAGCATCTGCTCCAGGGATTCACAGAGCCAGGCCCCCAGAACAGAGAGAGCACACAAAATGGGCTCAGAGAGGGAAGCTTGAGCAATCCTTGTTAACAAGGGTTCAAGGAGAGAACCAACCCCACACGAACACGGCTTTGCAGCGTACTGCGGACTTGGATAATTTCATCAGGCCTTTGAATGTTTGAATGCCCTTTCCAGTTAAAATTGCAGGAGAGGGATGCGTAACGCGCTTCCTGTGGGCCTCTTAGAAACCTTTGTGATCCCCATGCATCCTACCTGTCTTCGTTCCACCAAACCAAGCTTGTTTGTATCAAAAAGTGTGGCAAGAAAATACAGTCTCTTAGGAGGAAAGAAGTAAAACAGCTCTGGGTATGTCGACAGCCAATTCCGAGGTGAGCTAAAGACAGAAGAAAACTTGCGACAGCCTCTCGTTGTCTCCCATAATCGCCAGATAATTTAAATTATTATGAAGTTCATTGTGTTCTTCCATAGAAACAGAGCTGTTGTCTGCCAAGATGACCTCAGAGGTGGCCCAGCTCTCATTCAGGATTTCCCAACAATATCCTCTTCAGACTAAAAAACAGCCAGTTGGCCACAAAGAGCCCTCTTCTTCCCCACACCAGCATGTCTGCGGCTTCGTCCCCTTCTGGGCCTCTGCATCGTCACTGCCACCCTGGGCTTCTGGGTGGACTGTGCCGGCCCCTGGAGAGATTCCTGCGTGCAGGCAGCTGCCACATCTTGCAGTGGCCCCTCCAGGCACAGCTTTGACCATAGGCGCACCAGCCCAGACCAAGCCTCTCTGTCCCTCTTGCCTTCCCCTTCCATTCCCCAAAGGCAGGCTCCTCCTCAGTGCCACTCAGCTGGAATAAATCACTACCCCCTGGGCTGGTGGGTGAGAGGCGACTTACAAGAGAGAAACATACATTCACAAAGCCAGTAGGAATTACAGGAGCAGATGGGCTGTAGGATCCTATTCTGATGCCAGGGACATGTTTCTGTATAAAGTAAATATTTTCCCAGTGTGGATCTCCGGTGAGTATGTGAAGCATATTTCTTAAAGATCCAAATAAGTCTAGTCAGAAATAAATATTGAATGGAAACTTCAAAGCCTTTAGACTCCTCCAGTTAGAGGCCCTGAAGGCTTCTCTCTAAATAAGCAGAGATGCACAGGTGAGTGAAGGCTGGTGCAGGGGACATTTGGGGGTTGCATGAGAAAGGATGCCAACAGTTCCATAGCTCACATTTTTTGTATTTTTTGTTGTGTGTGTGTGTGTGTGTGTGCAGAAAAAGGCATATCAACAAAGGAATAAAGGAAACATGTCTGTCCAGAGGGTTAGGATGTTTTAAAGCACATTTCCACCCCTCCCCTTTTTTCCTGTTGTAGATCTCGCCTTGCGGATTTTTTTACCAACTGCCAGCCAGAGTCAAGGTCTGTCAGCAGCTGTCTAAAGGAAAACTACGCAGACTGCCTCCTCGCCTACTCGGGGCTTATTGGTAAGGAGACGCAGGATGGGACTGTGGTTTGCAAATACCCGCGCTCTTTCCATTGCATCCTGCTGATGTCTGCAGAAGTGAAAATCTCCCAGTAACCTCTGGGCTGGGGTTTGAATGTTAAATCCTTGAGGACATGCCCGTAAAAGAAAAATGAAGAAGTAGAAAAGAAAAAAAAAGTTGGATAATGGATGCGTGAAAGGCAGAGGCAGGAAGCAGGGATTATTAAGGAGTCAGGAGACTTCAAGTGTGCAGACGGGCAAGGCGTCTCAGTTGGGAAACTGACCACGTAGAACAAAAGCAGAGAGAATAAAAGCTTGGTTATGGAAGAAGAAAGCAAGTCAAACAAAGTTAATTGAATTAGGGAACTTTGGAGAAAGGGAAGTCATTCAGGCCGGGGAAATCAAAAAGGCTGTTTCCCAGAAATGGCCCTTTGGAAAGAAAAACCCTAAATACTGGGGTCCTGCTTGCCGTTAATGGTCTTGGTAATTCAACTCCCAGTGTGCAGAGGGTGATTTAGGCTACATTTTTTTTTTCCTGAAAACAGACATAGCAGAAACATTATTTTCTGTCTGTCAAGACCCGAGGCTTTAGAAGAACCATGTTCTCAGCATTCAGAGCAGTGTGATTACACATGACCCCCATGAGAGTCAGAAGGGAAGCAGACTTGGACCCCTGGATGCACGGGGCCAGCAGGGGGAAAGACAGGCATCCCAGGTACCAGGGATAGCAGAAGCCTTGGTGGCAGGGCTCATCTCCACTGGCATTTGAGAAGGAACACACAGTGAAGCCTGTGGAAGGGTGAGGAAAATCACAGTTGTCAGAAGCACAGTGGCTCAGCCAGGGTGTGTGTTCCTGCCGGCTGTCTGTGTCAGGGTCACACACATCACCAGCAGGAAGAACCTCCCCCAGAGAATGATAGCACAGACTATGTTGTTTGTCACCAGAGCATCTTCAGCAGGTGGCTTTGGGAAAATCAACAATGGTACTTATTTCAGGGACAGCACAGGTGCCTGGCACACTCTTCACTCCCAACTTTTTGGAAGGATACCTACACTCCCTGGGTAATAGTTTTCCCCAGGTCTCTGAGTATTTTCTATTTTTATCAATCGGGCCAATGAGAGTACCTTCCTTAAGCCAGTATGCCAAACTTACATTCGCTCCTTTTCCCAAGTAAGTTAATCTCTACTAGGGATTACTTATCAACTATGGAATTGCAGAAATCACAACAGTCAAGGCATTCTTATTGTAAAAAGTGTTTTAAAAATACAGAGAAGCTCACAGAAGAAAATGTTAAGTATTTCCAACTCAACTCTAGCTGCATCTGCTAACAGTGTCTACATCTTATAGACGTAAGACAATAGGTGGTCAGTAATCCACAGGATGTATTTGGTTCACAAACAGAAAAGCAATTTTTTTCCAAGCTCCTTGGAGTCAACAGATATAGTCTCTGTTAACACTTCAGTCAGTGCCCTTCCCAGGTGTACCTGCTCCTTAACCCCTTTGGGAGGGGACAAGGCCAGGTACTGCCAGCATTTCCATGAAGTTATTCCTAGGCTGGCAAACACTTATACTTCCAAGGATGATGAATGGAGGACCCAATGTCAGAGGCAATGCATTGCATAGACCAAAATGTATTTCTCTGTTGGGTCTGCATCTCTCTCTCCAACTTCTTTCTGGACAAGGTATATTCCTACTTCTTCCATATCTGTCAGGAGCCCACCGTGGCACCAGGCATCCAATGGCCTTAACCTCCTCCTTTAGTGATTAGGGTGCCTGTTCCTTTCTCAACAAAAGTTAGGAGTCCCCTCTATGCAGTAGGTTAAATGTTCATCCTAAGCTATAATGTGATATTGCAATATTATTTAGTTTAAGTCAGAAAAGAATATAGGGCAAAGACAGTGTGCCCTTGACTCAGAGAAGTTTAGAACATATATATATATATTTGAGACGGAGTCTCGCCCTGTCACCAGGATGGAATGCAGTGGTGTGATCTTGGCTCACTGCAACCTCCTCCTCCTGGGTTCAAGGGATTCTCCTGCCTCAGCCTCCCCAGTAGCTGGGACTACAAGTATGTGCCACCACACCCAGATAATTTTTGTATTTTTTAATAGAGACAGGATTTCACCATGTTGGCCAGGATGGTCTCCATCTCTTGACCTAGTGATCCGCCTGCCTTGGCCTTCCAAAGTGCTGGGATTACAGGCGTGAGCCACCATGCCCAGCCCAAAATTATTTTTCTGTTTGTGATCCAAATACATCCTGCAGACCTATTACTTCTTATGCCCAGAAAATATATAAAAACAAAAGCCTTCTTGTAATCAGCAGGCATTGTCTGGTATCAGCCACCCAGGAGAAGACATTTGGTTTGGATTAAGTATAAATGCTTTGGGTGTTTGTGCCAGTTTAGAACTCATCAGAAATATCATGACCCACAAGATGTAGGCAGGAGGGACCACCCAGCATTTCTTTGAGCACCATTGAGAGTCCACAGGCAATACTCTAGGAGCTGTTGGCTTAGAGAATTTCCATTGTTTGTTTCCAGTTCTTTCACAACATCGAAGATTTTATTTAAATCAGTTGAGAAGACCCCATATATACATATATACACTCAGGGTGCAGGGTAACTGCTAGAAAGCTTTGAGCTTCCCTATGTCACTCTAAAGAAACCATTTCCTTCTGGGGGAAGTGGACTCAAAGTCCTAAACAAAATGTTTCAAGATATGTAAACCCAGTTCTATCTATTTATGAAGATTAATGACATTTTCAAGAAAATGCAAGAGATTTGGGAACTCATGCGTTCTCTAAGTTAATTCTTTCCTACTCTATAACATCCATACCATTTGTGCAGGAAAGAATACCCTAAGTGCAGCTCAAGAAGTTTCGTTATAATTTTTAAAGTAAACGTGTAAATTGCTTTATGTGCTCAAGATAAATTGCTGAGAAAATGCACTGCTTAACATAATTTCCCACTCAGCAAACACAATGTTTGTAATTATCCACGGTACATCCACCATCAGAGGAATATTGGTTTCTTTTTAGGCTATGGAAAAGTATCACTGTACAACAATAAAATGCCTTGTTTTTATTCTTTTAGGCACAGTCATGACCCCCAACTATATAGACTCCAATAGCCTCAGTGTGGCCCCGTGGTGTGACTGCAGCAACAGTGGGAATGACCTAGAAGAGTGCTTAAAATTTTTGAATTTCTTCAAGGACAATACATGTCTCAGTGAGTTTTTAAAAACAAAGAAACAAACGAGCAAACACATTTTCCTCTCTGAACTCTAGCTGTACCTCTTGTTTCTTGTGTCTGCTTCCTCTGTCTTTTTCCCTTTCTTCTTACCGATGGTAAATCCAGTTCCGTTTGTGGCCACCTCATGTAATGCAGCAGGGAACCCAGCAAGTGATGAACTGGGTGCTGCCAAGACTGTGAATCCAAAGGCCTGAGAGAGCAAGAGACTCAAATAACTGAGGGTACATTATGTGGGAAAGAACACTTCTACCCTCAGATCAAATTTTGATCTTGGCAGCCAGCGGAGAGTCTGTTCCAAAGGTTCTTGAAACCTGGGCAGAATATACAATGCGAGAAGCTCAGACAAATTACATGGGGATAGGCCTCCAAGGACTCTCTGAGAAAAATTAGAATGTTAACATCAATAGCCCCTTGGATGCTCCGGGCTGGCTCAGAGGAGAAGCAACAATTCTTGAGTGGGATAAACTGGTGATGCAGGCAGGAGGCTCGGGATGCCCGTTATCTCTGGAGGCAAGATAATCACTGGGGAAGAGGGAGGAGGGCTTCTGCTTGGAAGCAGAATCAGTTCTTATTGCAGTGTCCTTTAGGCAGTTTGGAAACATGTTTCCCAAAGGGACAGGGATAGAGAGAAATGGACAGATGTGAACAATGGGCATTCATCAAACTCCAAAAGCACAGTGCCAGGACTCACGTATATCCACACAGATGCACACTCCCTAGGTGATGATCCAGCTGAGATACTTGAAAATTTCAACCCACCCTTGTAATACCCGCCATTTATTGGGTATCTTTTGTGTGTTCAAACACACTCTACAGTGAGTGTAAAATATACATTCTCATTGAGAGTAATCTTCACAAGAATCTTCATAGACATAGGTGGTTTTATCCTGCCGTACAGCTGAGTAAAGCCTGGTAATTCACACAGGCCATGCACGCCAGAGTTAGGATCTGAAGTGCAAATCCTTTTGCAGCCCCCTCTGTCCTAAGGGCTTTGTTCACGCTGATGTTGAAGGGCCTGTGGGATGAGAACATAGGCCTGAAGTTCAGGAACCAGGTCAGTCTGACTTCCTGATGCGAGGGGTGGACTAAGTTTCTGGGAATCAAGGCTCAGCCACCCACCCCTCTGAGAGTCGTGTCTTCAAGTGGCTATTTCTCCATGATGCTTGGCTGGCAGCTAATAATTTACTATGCACACACATACACAAAAGCTTTTGAGGGTTACTTTAAAATTTCCTCATCATTTCCTTTGTTGAAAGGAAAAAATCTAAGTCATTTGCTTACTAGGCACTTCAAATAATGTGGCTATAGTCAATTGGTTTGGTCCTCTTAAAATAAAACAAGCTTTTGTATTCTTAAGTGAAATTCACCCCCATGAAAGTAGTTTCGTGTATGGAGACATTCACTAAGATATTGGGGCATACCAAGGAATCACAGCTTGGACCTTTTGTTTGGTCTTGACTGAGTGTGTGTGTGTGTGTGTGTGTGTGTGTGTGTGTGTGTATTTCCTCTTTTTCACATCGTGCAGTCTTCTGGCAGAATGCAAGTTTTAGCTAAGTTAAAGCAATGACAATGGAGGACAGTGTAAGAAAAGATTTTGCTCACACTGGCTAGACAAATTCTCCCTCACAGAGAAATTAAAGTTGTTCCTGCTTTATAACCTTTTTGGTGAAGGAGAGAGTCATCTGGGTATCTCATTGGTAATGACTCTTCAATAAAAATAAATGCACTTGGTCTGCATCAGGGGCCAAAGCCAACCAGAATTTTTCACAGTCATTCCATTTCCACTGTGACTAGATGGGACACAGAGCCTCAAAGACTCAGGGCCATCAGTTCAATCTCTTGCAACTAGAAGGAATTGCAGTTTGTAGATCCCAGCCCAAATGTAGAAACTTAGTTCTGCTCCCTTAAGATTAAGCCAAACCTCTCCCAAATTCCTCAATCATGAACACAACTCTAGCCAATTGTTTATTTCTAGTTTGGAAGAAGAAACAGCTGTTTTCAAGCCGCGTGCATGACAGATGTACGGGGAAGAGACAAATGGGATGGAGGTGAGGTTAGATATCAGTGGCCTTCACTCACATCTTTATTCAGATGACACCTTCACCAGGAGGGCCTGCCTGGATCAGTTTATCTAGGTAGCAACTCCTCTCCCCACTCAGTGCTTCTGCTGCTCCCTCGCTTCATTTTCTCCAAGCATTTCTCACTACCTAATCTATTACATATTTCACTTATTTACCTGCAAAATCAGAATGTGACCTGCATGAAGGCATGAACTTTTATCTTTTGTTGCTGTTATTGTTCACTACTATGTGCCCTATGCATAGTTCAGTGCCTGGCACTTAGTAGATATTCTATTAACATTTGAATGAATGAATGAATGAATGAGCAGTTGAACAACTGAACCACTGCTGTGGCAAGGCAAACATACTGGGAAAACACAGGTAGTTGCAAGAAACTGTGAGTTTCTTGAATCTTCATGTTTTAAGCAAAAGCAAGGGTAGCAGTGGTGGTTGTTCTGGGCATTTAAGGGAACTGGTCCCTGTGCACCTCTTTCTCTGCCTCACACTTACCAGTTAAGCCATGGAACATAGCTGGGAGCATAAAAAGCATTTAGATTAATTTGAAGCTGTTTCTTACAGCCCAAGAAAATGTAAAGGTGCAGAAAACAAGCTTCCAATTTGCTGAACTTAAAGGATAACACTTTTAGAACCAAATGTCACTTCTAAGAGGAAGATTAGGCTTAAATTATTCTGTCTTGTATATTGAAAAATGCCAACTAAGAGTCATATATTAACAATTTGCACATTCAGGTCCCAAATGCAGGAGTTTAGTCTTTTTATACAATGAATATGAAATAAAAAAAAAATCCTAAATCCAGGCCAAATCCCTGAAGACCTGATTAGAAACTGTTTTTTATTCATTTTGGGGAGGGAAACAACACACAACCAATTTGCTCTTGCCATAAAAACAATCTAATCCTATGAAATTATAATAAGCTTTTAAAGTTTTACATTTTAAACTTTTCATTTAAGAAGGGCTGCTCCTACCTAATTATGTAGACTTTGTTTGGAAGACTGGAGCAGAAAGGGAAAAAAAATAATCTTTCTTAAATTTTCACTAGTTATTGAGATTGAGGTTAGATTTTTTTTTTCTTTTTTTAAGGAATGGATTACATTTTGCCTGTCATATTAATGGGAATGCCATTGAATTGCCTAAATCTCATGATTAGGATTTTTTCAAGCACTAATTAGTTTGCATTTATTATAGAATATTAACAGAGCACAAGAATTTTCATGGAAAATGGGACAGTTATGATCCCAGTAACAGGGCTGAGGCTGGGTTTCAAAGGGCTTGACTGATGAGTATTTCAGGGCAAGGATCTTGCTCAGCACCTGGCACATAAATAGGAACACAATAAATATTTGTTGCGTTCTGAGCATCGCTAAGTGTCCAGCTCAGGGTTTAATGACTGAATTGATTTTTGAGCACCTGACCCCAAAGACTGGCTCTCAGCATGTATAGGGCAAATGGATGGATGGGTTTTGTTCAGAGAAGTCCAATGCTATAATCAGAATTTCTAGTGTGCCTCTCTGGCTGTGTATATCCTGTCTGTTACATTTGCTGCTTGACTTTGAAATTGGATTTCCTCCTGTTTTACTGCAGAAAATGCAATTCAAGCCTTTGGCAATGGCTCTGATGTGACTGTGTGGCAGCCAGCCCTCCCGGTACAGACCACCACTGCCACTACCACCACTGCCTTCCGGGTCAAGAACAAGCCCCTGGGGCCAGCAGGGTCTGAGAATGAAATTCCCACTCATCTTTTACCACCGTGTGCAAATTTACAGGTAAGAACTGCGTCCAGATTCCTTGTTGAGGCTCCCTTCCCAGAGGGAGGATCACAGGCAGACTCACTTTCTGAAATGTATTCAGAGATAGATGATGAATGCTGCTCAGGTTTGAGTCTTAAAACTGCATTTTAAACACAAGCAGTGAAGATTGTGACATGTCATATAGTGGAGAGAAAGTCAGATCACGGAACGGACTCTCATTTACTGGGAGTATGGCTTGTATTTGGCCTTACTTTCTTCACCTGTAAAATGAGGGCTCTGGGGAGAGATGCATCTGTGAAGTTTTCGTGTGTGGGGTTGTCAAGTTGGCTTGTTTACATATTTATTATGCTGGTTCTGTGTTTGCTACAAAGCAGCAGCATAATGAAAAGAAAGGAGCTCTTGAGTTTGTCATCGTCACACGATGTGGAGTGTTTAACTGTCTCTGAAGGGAAACCAGAGACAGAGTTGCTGGTTAATTCCCATGCAGAGTGCTTGATGTGTTGGTTCTTCAGAAGCAAAAGCAAGTGTTCTTTGGCAGTGGGAGGAGCAGTGGAGGCACAGGCTGCCCTGCAAACTCCTGCTTGTGGATACGGGCCAGTGGGAATGGTCAAGAACATTCTTTGCGGTTAATTCAGGTCTGCGAGGGCAGAACCACAGCAAGATACAAGTGGTGATTTCCTGCCTTCAGTCAAAAGCAGAGTGTTGATCCTGCCTTTTTATTGATTTTTCATAGTAATGAGTACTCAGCTCTTTGGCAGGGCATTTTATTTGTATGTTCACAAGGTACCCTCACATTCTTTACCCTTTGGGTGTTATCCTCCTGACGGCTGCAGGAGAGATGCTATCACTCTAGTACTATAGCCTCTTTTGTTTGAGGACACAAGGGCTCAGAGAGGGAATCACTCTTGCTCAGGTGTGCAGAGCTAATGGGTCACAGAGCCAGCACTAGGAATCGAGGAGCCTCATTCTTTCCATGATTTTTCCTGTGTTTCAGAGGTAATGGTGACCGCATGGTGACTTCTGCCTCCTGCTATGCTGGAGAAGGGGATGTTAGGTGGTGTATGTGCCGAGCACCATGCTGTCACCTCATGCTCATCACTGGAGCACAATTAGGCCCCCAGTCCCCATCAGGGGTCAACCTCGCTATTATTCTCACAAGGCGCCCTCTTTTGCTAAATACCACCTTGACCCACAACCCACTTTATTCCCTAGAAAGTGTTAGAAACGTGTTTTGAGTTGCTTGGTATCTCGAGACCTCTCTGCATCTTGGATGTCCTGCATGCCATTCTTCTGAGCTTGGGTCTCTGTCCTCTGTTCTTCTGGTTCTCCACCACAGACATATAGACTCAGAGACACTCTTATACACAAAATACTAAGGAAAGGCCAATAAGGAAACCACACAGCCTAAGGTCAACAGATGTTATTCATACTTCTAAAGCATTTCCTGGCATTTACTCTCTCCAAAGCACTGTACAGAGAAAGCCAGAACCGGGAGGAGCTTTGGGAAATACTATGGCATGGAACTGCTCCATCCTCTGTAGCGAGGCCCTGAGTTTCAGAGCAGGGAAGTGATATATTCAGAGTCCTCCAGCGAGTTGAAGGCAGGCCCAGAGCCAGGCAGGGAATAGGGTCTCTTCTCCATCTCAAGGGGGTGCTCCACACTCTGCTTTCTCCTAGGTCAGCTTTCCATGCTTTTGGGACCCATTCAGATTCTGGTGTCAGTGAAGACAAGTCGCCAGATGAGGGGGAGGATCCTATTATCATAAGGTGGTCACGGGAGGCCAGTGGTGGTTTCTGGAAAGAAAAGGCGAGCTCTGGCTACAACAAAACCAGTTTCTTTTTGTCCATGTCTCGGTGTACAGAGGGTGACTGCAGACGCAGCCTTCAGTGTTCAGCCTGTTTATTAAGTCCTTTCTCTGTTTTAGAAACTTTGTGGAAACGGGAATTCAAAAACAAAGTTCCCTTGTCAGTAAACTTAGAATAGTGGGCAAGATGCAACTTGTCAACATTTTTGAAAGGTAATAGGCAAAATCTCATAATAGTCACCATTGGAAACTCCATGAAATTGGAGTTTCCCCCATGAGAGGTGACGGTCCTGTCAGCCATAGGAGGTGTTCTCTGCTTCCTCCCACATCTTAGCTCCTGACTTGGGTTCCTTGTGGTACAGTGCAGTATGTGGCTTGGTCACACTGACAGCCAGAGCTTTTCCCCCAACACAGATCTGTCCAAACACCTTTCTCTGCAAGGAAGATCTGTACTGCCTCAGGGTTGCCCTGGCAACTCAGGGAATGCAGGAGCTCTATCCCCCAGAAACCATGTCTTTCCTTTCCTGTTAGTGATAGGAACTCTGCTTTCTAAACAGAAGGACAAAAGTAAAATTGGGAGTTCATGACCAGCCTGGCCAACATGGTAAAATGCTGTCTCTACTAAAACTACAAAAATTAGCTGGGCGTGGTGGTGCATGCCTGTAATCTCAGCTACTCGGGAGGCTGAGGCAGGAGAATTGCCTGAACCCAGGAGGCGGAGGTTGCGAGGTTGCGGTGAGCCGAGATCATGCCATTGCACTCCAGCCTGGGTAACAAGAGCGAAACTCTGTCCAAAAAAAAAAAAAAACTAAATCATGATGTTTCTCTCTGGGCTGCCATTTAACTCCTTGGCAGAGGGAAGCATGAAGGTGTGGGGCTGTCGAGGAATGAGGGGTGGCTATGGCTACACCTCTCTTCCCTGTGATACACAGTCTCCACGTATCCTGGAGCTAAACAGCATTTCTCTCCCAGGGAGTTCTTAGGGTTCCATGGAACCTCACTTTTACTCCTAAGATGATGACTTGCATGAGCCCCCTTTTGCACACATGAGGCATGGAATAAGGGATAAGGGCAGGGGAGGCAGCCAAGCCCATGTCAGACCCTGCTGTTGACCTCAACAGTATGGTAGCCTCTGTGAGCATGCTAACCTCTCTAAGCCTGGGCTTCCTCGTCTACAAAGCACATGTATGGCTTAGCTACTGGAGTTGAGAGGATTAAATAGGGCAGAGTGAATGTTCCAGAATGGTGCTTTATGAATGTCACATGTGATGTGATGTCTGATTCCAAGTCAGTGGCCACTTGGTCCCTTTACAACAGATGGAAGGTGGTGCTGTGCTTCCTTGGGGGCAGGGTATTGGGTATGTGCTAGGGAACATTAGTGGGAGGTTACACTAACAAGTGTGTAGTTTATTTTATTTTTCAAAACCTTCTGTGTGCTTCCCCCCCTGCACTCCTCATGGCAGTCCCATGAGTCAGGTGTAGCAGGCATTCTTGCCTTTTACAAATCAGGCAACTGAGACAGGAAGAGGCTTGTGACTTACCTAGAATCACACAGTAATTCTCTAGTGGGCTAAGATTTCCAACTTTGAGGCCAGGGCACTGTTGCCTTGTTCCATGACCCGTGGACAAACAGGACTCTTTCTCTGGATTAAGAATAGACAAGAAGAAGGAAAATATAAGAAAGGAGAATCTGGTTTTGAGAGAACCTCATGTCCTAGTTCCTCCTGAGGTTCACTGATGCAAATGAGGGGAACAGATGCAGAGCTCCCACTTCAGACTGGGTTTCTTTCTTCATGCCTCAATTCCAGGAGACAGCACTGAGTAGAGGAAGGACTGAAAGTTTTCCAGTAACATTTTTGCAGCTTGCTGATTTTCTAGGGTGATCTCTATAAAGAATGGTTTTAAGGATCGTTTGAGGCTAGAGGATCGAGGGGATGAGAGAATGATGAGTGAAGGGCCTTCATCCCGAGAACGTGGTCCCTCCAGCTGATTTAGGACTCTTGCCCAGGCGGAATACTCCCAAGAGACTCATTCTCCCCATCTGTCCCTCCTTTGCCTGCCTGGCTGTCTCCAGATGAATTACCATTTGCCGGGGAGTGGGGAGGGGGTCCTAGAAATATCTTAGAATGGCGTTTGTCCCAGCCACATGTGTCATTACTCAGAATAGAACTGACTTTAACCAGCTTGGGATCCATTGGTAACAGATTCAGAGAAAGTCAACTATCTTTGGCAGCTCTAAAGTTCACTTCCCTTGAGAAGCGCCCTCTTGTAATATTTTTAAATATACAATAATATGAGAAAACTCTTGGGGACTTGAGTTTCAGTCTTAACATTTGAGATAGATTTCCCCCTTGGAAGGGAAGAAACACGAATAAACATTTTCCAAAGTCTGCTCCAAAGTGTAATTATCAACAAACCAAATGCAGTTCTGCTTGGGGAAAATAGGTGACGATGGATGTGGTGGATATAGGACTCATCCATGTTCCTATGAAAGGCTTTGCTTTAAAAAAGGAAAGTGGATTGATTAGTATAAAATGTTACAGAAATGTCCAAGTGCTAACCCCCTGAGGTGATAAAATACCGGGTTTTGGGTAACCCGCCAAGCTCCCATGTCAGAATTAATTGGCAGTCATACTAGTGACAAGCATGACACAGCCTGTGCTATTGTTGGCCTGTACCTTCAACTTGTTCAAAATGGTCACATGGAAAACAAAGACACATTAATAATCCTACCAATTACTTCATCTTCCGTGCACTGGAGTGGTCTGGTAGCTGGAAAAAGCTCAGGATATTTAGATTAAATGGACTGTGTGTGTGTGTGTGACTTATTTAAAGTAAATATCTTTAGAGCATTAGAAAAATTTTCTATTTTGCATCACTGTACACTGCTTAACTGGTAGCTTACAGTGAAGACATCTTAACGAGGTGTTTGTTGATGTCTGGTTTCTGTAGTCAAATAGAGTAACAAAGACTGGGAGCTACAGCCTTGGGACTCAGGCCTTCTGAGAAGGTTTCACTGCCTCTGCTGCTCTTCAGCCCCTTGTCCCTGGAAATGTTGTGAGAGACCATGGGGCACACAGGGTAGGTGCAGGATAGCTGTGGGCAGTTGCCAGGGCCTCCAGTAAACGACACAAACCACATTCAATGTTAGGGATTTTGTGTGTGTGTGTGAGCCACATAATATACAGCTGTGGGTGAGACATGGAAGAC